CCTGGGTTCGATATTTGCTGCAGTGGCCACACAGAACTCACAGATTACAGGGTTTATTAGGGAAGCACCAGGCTACAACTCAAGTTCAGGAAGAACGCTCAGTCTCTCTCCCAGCCCACCGTCCCTCAGCCAAGAGTCTCTCACAGTCTCTTTCCCAGCAGTGTTGGTCCCTTGGTGTCTCACTCAGCAATGTGTGTCTCTTGCATCTCTTTCCCAGCAACGCATGTCTCAGGAGCCTGTGTCTCTTTCAGCAGCACGTCTTCCTCAACCAGCAGTCAGAGAGAGTTCTGCTTCCGGGAGGCCGCCTTTTGAGCCCGGAAGGGTGGTCAAACTAGCCAATTATGGCATCAGAACTCTAAGCACCTGAGAGAGAGTGGGCACCTCCCAGAACATTGTTTTGTGCCACTCCCAACAGAAATACTCCAGGTGGACACCTTCAGCAATCAGGAGCTCCTCAGTTGCTCATAGCAAATCCCACCTTCGAGTTTACAAAGACGTATGGGTAGAAAAGCCACACAAAATAATTTATTACAGTGCAGGAACATATTGAATCAACTTGTAGGTGTGGATCTATTTGGAATAAGCTGTGGTTTATATAAATTTTTGAAGCCATGGGCAAAAGACAGATGTTTGTGCTTGGGAGAGAGGAAAGGAATTTTGTTTGTAGTGAAATTAATGGAAAGAAAATGAAGATGCATGGTCTTCAGAAATGTTCCTTCATTTTATTCAGGCCTCCACTCAAGGGAGACCATGCCTGGGAGCTCTTCCCAGAATAGCCTCTCCTTTGTCACTCTCTTTTTGCCTGGTTTAGGCTTCTTGCTGTGGTGTTTCACTGCCTTGTGTATTTATTTGTTCTTTATCTGATCATTCCCTCCCACCCCTCAGAATCAGCCAAAACAGAAGCTTGTGTGTTTTGCTCACTGCTGTGGTCCCAGTGCCTAGAATAGTGCCTGGCACACAGTAGGACCTTGATGAAAGCAGGGCAGTATAGTGTAGAGCCAAAAACGAGGAGAGTAAAGCCATTGCCATTGAGTCGATCCTGATTCATAGGACCCTATAGGACAGAGTAGAACTGCCCTACAGGGTTTCCAAGCCTGTAATCTTTATAGAAGCACATCTTTCTCCTGCAGAGCAGCTGGTAGATTCAAACTACCAACCTTTTGGTTATCAGCTGAGTGTTAAACCACTGTGCCACAAGGACTTCTTAAAGTGTAGAGCAGGAACTGGCAAATGTTTCCTATAAAGAGCCACGTAGTGAACATGAGGCTTTGTGGGCCATTCAGTCTGTTGTGACTAAACCATGCTGTTGTAACATAAAAGCAGCAGTAGACATAAACAGATGGGTAGGGCAGTCTACCAGTACTCACATTTGCCCCACTGCTATGTTACTCCTGTGCTTACTGAGGGTGAGTCAGGGGAGCTATAGATATTACGAGCACTTAAGAATATCTTGAAAATTCCCTGCTGACCCAGCTCTCTCTCAGTACTTCTTGTGCACCCTAGGGTGTGTGTTTTTGTTTGTTGTTTGTATTTCGAATGATACCAAGTGCTAATTCTCTTCTCTCTCCTTCTCTACAGAGGAGGAAACCTGACGCTCTTGCACTTCTTGTTGAGTCTGAAAACAGCAGCAGATGATGAGCTGGTGGCTGAGCTGGTGGTGAACGTCCTGAAAGTGTGCCCTGACTTACTGAACAAGTATTTCAAGGAAGTGACATTTTCCTTCCTCCCGAGGGTGAAGTCAGCTTGGTTAAATAATATCAAACTACTAAACAAGGTAAAAAAAAAAAAAAAAAGATATTTAATCAGTGAGATAGGATGAGGAGTAGAGTGTAAAGGATTGAGGGAGAGAGAAAATGACATTTTGACCTGGAAAACTATATAATATGACTGCTTCAGCCAGTTCTTCAAATGGCTGTTTTGGATACATTTGGTGTCCTTTTCCCCTAAGTATAGCATTTTGCTTTTCACCAAGCTGAATTTGGAGGCTTCTGCCTTTTGAATCTGTTGAGGCAATTTCATCTTCATCCACACAGATTTCACAGAGAGTGAAATCTTGAGTCTGAACCACTTAGGCCTGAAGTACTGAAATGTCTCGACTACGGGATAGTTGTTACAGATTGCTGTTTCCAGAACTTAGTACAACTTGAAATCGACTGTGAAATGTTCCTCCAACCACCAGTTCTGAATCAGTTTGTTTAAATGGATATGCATTCATTTTCTTCTGATTGGAGATGTAAACACCCTGTATCTACCAACAGAAATGCTTTTATAAGTTTTTCTGCAGTAATGCTCAGTAGAGTTTTCTCTTGCCCCAATTTATGGAAGTTTAGTGATGAAATGAAGAGCCTTGGTTGGTATAGTGGTTAAAGCAGTTGGTTGCTAATGAGAAGGTCAGCGGTTCAAACCTACCAGTTGCTCCATGGAAGAAAGATGAGGCAGTCTGTATCCGTAAAGATTTACAGCCTTGGGAACCCAATGAGGGTAGCTATGAGTTGGAATTGACGCAATGACCATGAGTTTGGTTTTGGTTTTAGGGATGAAATGAGGACCCCTGGTGGCACAGTGGTTAAGCGCTCATCTAAAAACTGAAAGGTCAGCTGTTCAAAGCCACCAGTCACTTCACAAGAGAAAGATGTGGCAGTCTGCTGCTGTAAAGATTTACAGCTTTGGAAACCCTATGGGGGCAGTTCTACTCTGTCCTATAGAGTCACTCACTATGAGTTAGAATAGGTTTGTTGGCAATGGATTTTTTAATGGTGAAATACCTGGGGTTATCTGTAAAACAAGCTTTTATTCATGTATTCACTATATTTTTCTTGAGCACTTACTATGTCCACAAATGTATTTTGAGGTGAGGAGGACGCATTTTGCTCTTCATTTTGCTAAAGGCAACCTGTGGCTATCACCCCTATTAGGAGCTGCCAAGTGTATGGAGCCAAGCGTATGATCTTTCTAGGCCTGGGTTTGAGTCTTCGCTAGGCTAACAGATGTGTGGCCCTAAGGAACTTAGTAACTTTGTTGAAGTTTAGTTTTGTTACCTGTAAACATTTTTAATTATTCATGTAAAATATCTCTACATCAAAGGAGTATTTTGAAGCTTTGAAAAAACCAAAAAAAACAGACTCACTGCCCTCAGGTCAATTCCAACTCATAGCAACCCCTCCTTGGGTTTCTGAGGTGGTATCTCTATGGGAGTAGATTGCCCAACCTTCCTTTCAAGGAGTGGCTGGTGGGTTTGAACTACCAGCCTTCTGGTTAGCAGTCCAGATGCCTTAGGCACTATGCTGCCAGAGTGCTCCCGAAGCTTTAGAAAGATGACCTAATTTTTCAAGTGCCATCTTTAAAAAGGCTTCTTAAAAGGCTCCCAGACTGTAGGCTGGGTCTGGTATGATGGTCACTGGTCTGGTAGCAACCAGTCCTGTGACCTGGCTTGTTTTTAATAAGTAGATTTTATGGTTAATCTTCTGGACCCCCTTCCTTGTGTTAAGCCTAGACCTTATCACTATAACTATTTCATTGACTTCTCTGTTGGGTGCCTAAAATTTGCCTCAGGTTTGAAATTTACCTCTGGTGCCAACTAATTATCTTTTCTCCTTGTCATAGATCTATGAGGCCCAGCCAGAGATTTCCCGGGCATTTCAGACCAGAGAGTTTATTCCCTTGCCTCGACTCCTCTCAATGGTGATGGTGACAACCGTGCCCCTGGTCTGCAATAAAATCATGTTCACCCAGGCTTTAAATGTAAGGTCATGTGCTCACCCCACCTCCGAAAACTTTCTGCTTCCAAACTCACCGGCTAGGCTGTGTGGTTCTTCTGAGCATCCTGGGTGTGATTGATTGAGTTTTGTCGCTGAGCCTCTGAGGCTTCTGGGACACAGACTTTAGTTTGAAATAGCTCTATAAGTAACTAAGTTCCCTCACCTGGGTAAACATCTTAGCGCTCAAGGCACGTTCCTTCCAGAGAGGGACTGACTTTATGTTGGTGACCCTATTCCAGCACAGAGCCCAGGTCTGTGGATTCCTGCAAGGCTTTAGTCCTGTCTGCTAGTACTCTCTTGCCACGGAGTCAACTCGGACGCTTGGTGACCTCATGTGTCAGAGTGGGCCTCTACTCCCTAGTGTTTTCTATGGCTCATCTTTTGGGAGTGGATTGCCAGGCCTTTCTTCCAGGACCCTCTGAGTGGACTGAAACCTCCAACCTTTTAGTTAGTTGCTACGTACGTTAAACATTTGTACCACCCAGGGACTTAGGCCTGCCTAAACGAGGGAGAATGAATGTGAGGAAAGTGAGTGGGTTCAGTTACCACCCAGTGCCATTTATTAAAATCTCATTTGTTTAGAATTTCTGGAGAGGGCAGGACTGAAATTGGCCTGTTGTTGTTGTTGTTGTTATGTGCCGTTGAGTCGACCCCTGACTCATAGCGACCCCTCCTTGGGTTTCCGAGGCAGTATCACTATGGAAGTAGGATTGCCCAACCTACCTTCCTAGGAGTGGCTGGTGGGTTTGAACCGCCAGCCTTCTGGTTAGCAGTCAAGTGCTTTAGCCACTATGCTACCAGAGCTCCTGAAATTGGCCTAGCAAAAATAAAATAAATTTTTTTTTTCCTCTGGTTTAAGTGGTTAGTGTTAAGGCTGCTTCTGGGGAACATTTCCTTTGAGGACCAATTGTTTTTAGGCATTTTTTTGAAGGGTGTGTTCATGGAAAAAACTGCTATTTGAAAATAATTTCATGTAATTGCTTATTTATTGTAAAGGTCCCTGAGTCCCCTCTGAAGCATTTTGAGGAGATTCATATGTCCTCACTACAGTATCATGGGCTCAGGTGAATGGCTGAGCTGTGGGCACACCTGGGTCTTGGGCCCTGCTGGCCTCTTCCCCATAAACCCATGTTGCCTTAGGACCTGCCTGAGGGAGGCCAGGTATTCAGGACCTGGGTTTCTCTGGGGCAGATGGAGTTCTATCCTCACATCCCCTAACCTTGCTGGCCTTCTCAGGCAGGCTGAGTTGTTGTGTAAGCATCAGGTGGTCAGTGCTTGACCAGGGTCTGCAGAGGGTGGGTTGTCCAAGCAGGAGGTGGTTCCAGTGGCGATAAGTGGCAGTACTTTAATGAGGTGTAGATGCATTAGATCGTACAGTGAGATTAAACAATTTTTTGATATCCATCCAGGGTTTGTTCTTAGAGTGGGCAGTGGGATAAGGGGTAGAGAGGGAGGCCTTTGGGGTGCTAGGCAGAAAGGTCTTTTGTTCTGTTTGCCAGATCTTGATAAGCAAAATTAGAACGCAGCTAACTTGTCCATGTGTTTTGTGGGAGACATTAATTTATCCTTAGGGGCTTGCAGGAAAATAGAATTGGAAGGAATATGTCTGATGTGGCCTCATTTATGGGCAGGGGATCATTTAATCTGGGCAACTGCATTTATAGCCCCCAAGAGTCTCTCCTTTCTCCCTCTGATGTTACTGAGGCAGGATAGGGATTGTGCCTCTGGAATGGCATGCCATCCTTTGGGACAAGTGTTTGCAGGGAAAGCCTCAGGGATCGAGGACAGGTCTTTTTTCCTTTCTGGTTAGTGTATAGGTCTGGGGTGTTATGACAAGAAGCTATATCTGTGGCCCCTTTTTGCATGTTCCCTTTCAGAGAGCTGTGACAGAGTCTTTGTATGCAAGACCTGGTGATTAAAGTGGAATTTAAGTGTTTTTTTTTTAACATTTTTCTTATTCCTTATAGTATTGTCTGAAAATTTTATTTTAATTGTATGCATTTTTGAATCAGAAAGAAAAGAGCTATCTATTTTAGAAATGGGAAATAAGAGGTTTGGAGGTAGGGCCTCAGGCTGAGCTTTTTGCTCTAAGCCCTTTGGGTATACATGTGAACACTTGTTTGGGGGACTTGCTTTGAAGTAATTATGAAGCTGGAGTCATTAGTGTTTTCAGAATACTTAACGTAGTACTGCTGTAGCGTACAATATATGCATGAAACGAAACCACATCTAGTTGGAATACTGGGGAAATAATGGAGTGCCACGGTTGTTAAAGTAAACCAGAAAAGCTTTCTGTTTTCTACCGGATAATAAAATTAAATACCCTAGCTAGTGCCTCTCAAACTTTAATGAGAATCACCTGGAAACCTTGTCAGAATCCAGATTCTGATTCGGCAGGTCTGGAGTAGGGCCTGAGAGTCTGCGTTTCCTAACAGGCATCAGGGTGATGCCAACACTGCTGGTCCTCAGGCCACCCAGTAAGGGCTGTGGGTCTTGACTCTTCCTCCTTCTGGTCATAGCACAGGGTCTGAAACCTTACAGTCTCTCTTCAGTGAGTGAGACCTTTGAGGACCCTTTTCGTTGTTATTCTGAAAGTAAGTAGAGAACCCAGGGTGTTGACAGCCTGGGATTTGGGGCTGTGCATCTGCTGAGCCTGGAGGTGATATTTGCACTAAAGCACCTGATGCATTTTCTTGTCATATCACCACCTGAAGGCTAGGTGCTTTTCATAGTGACTGGTTAGGTCTGGTGAGGTCTTGGTTGTTGTTGGTGCAGATAATGCATACTAGCTGAGTGGTTGTGAGAAAGGCTTACTCAACACAGACAGATGACAAAAACAAAAAAATGAATGGATGTTGATTACCACTTTCCCAGCAATGGCTGAAGCCAGACCTGGAGGATATTAAGAGGACAAGCCCTCTGGTAGCCTCTTCTCACCTGAAGATAGAGACCTGGGTCTCATGTGGCTTCCCTGTGAACGACCCGAGAAGGCCATAGCTGAGCACACCCAGGGCTTGTGTCTACCAGTGTATCCTAAAGACATTTGTGAATTGAACTCTTCTTCTTTTCAGTTGGACAGCAAATCAGTAAAACACACAGCTTTATCCCTTATTTCTGCCATTTTGAAGAGAGCATCAAAGAATATTGACTATTGCCTGGATAAAGAGGTGTGGCAAGAATCAGGTGTGTACACATCTGTGATGATGGAGGAGTTCGTGCAGCTCTTCAGAGAAGCCCTGAGCAAGGTAGGCCTGGAAACCAGGAAATATTGCCTATCCAGAGAAGTTTCCAGGACTTTTCCTTCAGATCTTGCAAATCAGCACACCAGAATGAAAAGGCAGTCTTGGGAGCACAGAGAGTAGGTGCTAAGTGAGGTGTCCCTGAAGCCATGGTATTGGAAAGGCTGGTGGGTACTGTTGTTGCATGAATGATAAAAATCAGCTAGTAAAACATACTACTTAGCATTATAGGCAGTGATGTCACTCTTAAAACAGGAAAACAGGATCCAAAAGTCCTGTGGTAAAATAAAAATGTAGAATATACCTTTGTTCTCTCACTGAAGCAGAATTTGGAGGGGCAGGGTTTTTCTGGTCCTCCTTGGACTTCTGTCTCAGGTGCTGTTGGTGTGTCCCACCCACCAGCCCCAATCTCATACTTCCTCACTAACCACATACACATCTTCTGTCAACAGCCTGGCTGCTCTGGAAGTTTTCCCTCAGCATGTCATGTTGTTGTGTGCCATCTAGTTGATTGCAACTCATGTGATCCTATAGGAAAGAGTCTATCCTATAGGATAGAGGATTTCTAGGACTGTAATCTCTACAGAAGCAGACTGCCACTTATTTCTAATGTGGAGTAGCTGGTGGGTTTGAACTATTAACCTTTTGGTTAGCAGCCAGCTGCTTAACCACTGTGCCACTAGGGCTTCTTTGTAGGTCATAAAGAAGTGTTTCTTTGTTCCCCGTATCTTTGCTCAAGTGAACAAGTCTTAAGAAGTTTGTTTTTAATTTCAGCATTTTTTTCCCCCACCAAATTCTTACCATGTACACTTCTAGAAATTACATACAAAACAGCCTACAAAGGATGTGGGCTTGTTCTCTCCCCAACCCCCATCTCTTACATGCATGCGTGTGCGCGCACACACACACACACACACACACTCTCTCTCTCTCTCTCTGTCTGTCTCTCACCCCCCTTCCTCTCTGTCCCCCTTCCTCCCTCCCTCTCTCCCTCCCTTTATGTTTCTCTCTTCCTCTCTCCCTTCCTCCTTCCCTCCCTCTCCCTCCCTCCTCCCTCCCTCACACACACACAAACATATACACACACTGGCAGGTACTCACACAAACTTCTCACTCATACTCAACAGACTTCTCACATAAAGTTTTTAATATACATGCTGCAAAAACGACAAGGAGGCCACATGTTCCGACCTCCTCTAATTCCACAAAGGGAAGACAGGGTTACCAGCAGTAACCCAAGGCCTATTATTGCCAGGCCAGACATGTTGCTTCCCTCCAGTCCTTTCTCCAACCGTTCCTCCCAGAGCACCCACCACCTCTCTCCTGGGTTCGATAATTCACTGCAGTGGCCACACAGAACTCACAGATTACAAGGTTTATTAGGGAAGCACCAAGCTACAATTTAAGTTCAGGAAGAACGCTCAGTCTCTCTCCCAGCCCAATGTCCCTCAGCCAACAGTCTCTCACAGTCTCTTTCCCAGCAGTGCTGGTCCCTCGGTGTCTCACTCAGCAATGTGTGTCTCTTTCAGCAGCACGTCTTCCTCCACCAGCAGTCAGAGAGAGTTCTACCTCCAGGAGACCTCCTTTTGAGCCCGGCAGGGTGGTCAAACTAGCCAATCATAGCATCAGAACTCTAAGCACCTGAGAGAGAGTGGGCACCTCCCAGAATATTGTTTTGTTCCACTACCAACAGAAATACTCCAGGTGGACACCTTCAGCATTCAGGAGCTCCTCAGTTGCTCATAGCAAATCCCACCTTGGAGTTTACAAAGACTTATGGGTAGAAAAGCCACACAAAGTAATTTACTATACTGCACATGCACACAGACTTTCTCATGTAAACTTTCTCACATACACTCACATTCTCTCTCACACACACACTTTATTATGTATACACACTCTCATACACTCATATACTTGTGCCTCCATCTTCTGTTTTTTTGTTTCTCGTTAGTATGTGTTCAGTTCAGTTGCTTCTCTTCATTGTTTAATGTGACTGATATTTTTGTTTCTTTTTTTCCCTTTTAGATTTTACCAGACCTGAACACTATTGTTTGGGTCTGGCAGTCTCTCCGAAAACAAGAGACCAAACAGGATGATGAGAAAGGAAAGAAGAGTGATGTGACTTCAGCTGCCAGCATCGTTCCCCAGAATGGTGAGGCCTTGTGGGGTGGCGGCTGTGTGTCAGAGACACAGGGCTGACATAGGCATCACAGCTCACCTCCTGTCTAAATGGGCCTTAGAGCCCTTCTGAAGTCCTTTGTAGCTGTGAAGGCATCCTGTGCCTTTTCTGACTTGCAGACATTCTCCCCTTGGGAGGAGTAGCATGAAGTCAGTAGATTGAATTCTAATTTGTATTAGAAAAATATGCCCAAGCAGTGTGTCTCTCTGAGGTCTTGAATGATATATATCATCTGACCTTTTAATTTGGAGCCCTTGTTTCTGTCTGCAGGTAGAGGGGAGCTACACAGTTCCCCTCGTAATAAAATACAGTGATAGCAAGTATTGACTTAGCCCTTGTCTCTGGCCAAGCTATGAGCTTCATGCCTTACATATGTTATGTCACCTAATCCTACAACAGCCCTGTGCTGGTTGGTGCTGCTGCTGTTCCCACTGTGCAGGACACTACAGCACAGAGAAACAGAGTCATCTGTCTGGGGTCACAGCAGTGAGACGGGGATTTAAATCTGGGCATTTGGAACATACCGGTTTTTTTTTTTTAACCACATTGACTCCTCAATCTGGTTGGAGTTCTGTCTGAAGTTCATTACTGATCAAGCCCCAGGGCTCACGATTTGGAACCCTCTTCTCCCATTTCAGTATATAGTTGACCATAATGTGGTATCATCTATCATTTGACATCTTACCTATTGCTGACCTAGGAAAAAAAACAAGTATATTTCTTAATTACATCTGTTTTATTTTGGTCCAGATGATGCAGAAACCATTCTTTTGAAAGCTGTTCTGCTCCAGGTCATATGCCTGTACCAGAAGGTGGTCCCCCATATGGTCATGCAGTACAACTTTGACTTCAGCAAGCTCCTGAAAGGTACGTCGCAAGGGTTGCAGAGCCCCTCTCTCATGTCTGCTGGTGGTTGAAGGAAGCACTGACATAATAGTGAGTCAGCTGAGGACCGGGAAGTCTGGTGGACATTTTTGCTGCATGTGTGATCCAACAGGCTGGTTATTCTTATTTGGACCAGTATTTTAAAAATGGAGTCCCTGGGTGGCACAAACAGCTAAATGCTTGACTAGTCAAAAGGTTGGAGGTTTGAACCTACCCTGAGCAGGGCCTTGGAAGACAAGCCTGGCAGTCTGCATCTGAAAGGTCAAAGCCTTGAAAAGCCAATGGAGCACAGATGGAATCGACTTGACGGCAACTAACAAACATTTTAAAAATCAATTTTCCTTAAGTAATATCAGGAGAGCATTTAACAGCACTGAGAGCAGAGAAGGCGAAGCCAGCCATCCTGGCCTGAGTTACCTGCTGTGGACATTCCAAAGATGACATCATCCAAAGTTAACACAGCCTTTTTCCAAGGGAGCAGAGAGGTATAGGGATGGGGTGGAAACTAGAGGCCCTTAGAAGAAATGTCCTGTTTACGCAGAGGAACCCTGGTTACTTCATATTTTACTTCATGAGTTGGGTTCAAATCACATCTTGTCAGAGTGACGTTGAATTTGTCTGGCCATGCTCCCTTGGTGGTGAATTTTGTGTATGCAAAGTTACTTTATAATTGGGCCTATTGAAGAGCACTTGCAAAAATACCATTCTTGGAATTTATACACACTATTGGAGCTCTGGTGGCGTGGTGCCTAAGGCATTTGACTGCTAACCAGAAGGCTGGCGGTTCAAACCCACCAGCCACTCCTCGGAAGGAAGGTTAGGCAATCTACTTCCATAATGATACTGCCTCGGAAACCCAAGGAGGGTTCATTATGAGTTGGATCCAACTCAGTGGCAGTGAGTTTGATTTTGGGTTATTGAAACAATTTCGAAAAGATGTAATTAATTTTTTCACTGTTTGAAGGTTCTCTTTGCTGTGAGAATAGGATGTTTACTAGAATGTGGCCAATTTGTAGTTAGTAGCTGTGTCCAAGCACAGGAGAAATAGACCAGACCAGAGCGTAAGGACTCAGTCTGAGGCCTGAGGAGCCATCATCTTTGCCCACAAGTGCTACAGTCTGGGGAGAAAGGCACAGCACAGGATAGTATTGACTAGAGGCTGCATTTGGAGTATAGCATAGTGTAGTGTGGGTGATTCAAGCTGTAGGAGGAGGTCAGTGTGGGCTGAGAGTAGGGTCGGGCTTTACTGGCAAGTAGAATTAGGGCTTTTATTAAAGGCCCTTGAGGGGGAGCCCTTGGGTGGCACAATTAAGCACTTGACTACTAATCAAAGGTTGGTGGTTTGAACCCACCCAGAGACACCTTAGAAGAAAGGGCTATGATCTACTTCTAAAAGGTCACAGCCATTGCAAACCCTATAGAGCAGATCTGTTATGCACACATGGGGGTCACTATGGGTTGGAATCGACTCAGTGGCAATTGGTTTAGTTTGCTTTTGGGGAAGAAGAATGTGTCAGGTGAGGTATGCCTGGGCAGAAGAATAAGCACAGACACGTGTAGGTGAGCTATAGGATGTGGGGGCACAAACCTCAGATCCTACCTTTTGAGTATTAGATGGGGAATTTTTTACTTGGTCCTGTTGGCCAGGGGCAGCCATGGCTGGAGCACCTGCCTTCACATGACTTTGTCAGCTTTCCTCTTTTCTATCCCTAGGTGTCATCTCAGAGCAGGGCCTTCGCGACGAGGTCCCTCCCATTCTGCAACACCACATTCTGAAGGTGGCCCTGGAGCTGCCTGCCAGCAAGTTCTTATGGCTAAAGGCACAGGTGGGTGGGAAGCAGAGATCTCTAGTCTTCTGTCATGGACTAACGTGCTGGGTTTGTTGGCTTTTTGGCTTGGGAATTTATAACTGCCATCAGACCCCTTTCATCATTGGGGGTGGTTGCAGGAGGAGGTTATGGCTGTTCTTTAAGAGAGACCTGTATAAGACAGTGGCCAGGCCCTGAGTTGTGAACCAGGAAGCCTGCAAATCTGTTTTCTTTTTATAACTAACAAGGTGCTTAGTATGTCCTAGGAGACCCTAGGTGATACAAAGATTAATGTACTCAGCTGCTAACTGAAGATTTCGAGGTCTGAGTCCACTCAGAAGTACCTTGGAGGAAAGGCCGGATCATCTACTTGTGAAAAATCAGCCATTGAAAATCCTGAGGAGCACAGTTCTCTTGACACACGTGAGGTCGTAGTCACCATTAGTTAGAGTGAACTCCATTGTAACTGGTTAACTGGTGAGCACATCCTCACTGGAAATGTATTATTAACGGCTATAGGAAGTTTTGAAATTTTTTTACTTGACCATTTTCTATTTTTCTTGCTGTTAACCATTTTAGAAGTAAAATAAAATACATTCTTTCTCCTTTGTCCTCATCTTGGGAGAACCTAAGGCAGAGGTAGGAATAGATACCAAGTCAGGAGAGGGTTGCATCTGGGAAAAATAGTATAGATTGCTGGGATTTGTTTTCTGCATTTTTAATATCTTCTAGGAGTTTTTGCAAAATATAATGAAAGTTGAAGATGCAGCAGATGTTTATATATGTGTTTAAACATAGGATGCTGCAAAGAGGACAAGTAGCTAAGCAAAATTGAGTGTTGTCTAGGTGTGTTTCTCAATAGCTCAGGTTTTTTTTAAGGCTTAATAGAACCAATAGCAAAGAAGTGTAGGCTTGTATTTTTACATAAGATATTTGCAGAGAGGTTTAGGAATGCTCTGGCACTGGGGTCTGTGTGTTGTTTTCCCTGTAAGTCCCCTGTGGTTCACCTGCATTGTAGTTGATGTAACTCTTGCTGAGAGCTCACTGTAGGCCAGGCTTTACATGTGTCATCTCATTTAACACCAGTTAAAGATGGCAGTTGAGGCACAGAGCAGTTCAGAAGCTTCTGCAAGGCCCCAACTGTCAGTTGTGGAGCCAGAACTCAACGCTTGCAATCTGGTCTCCAAGTCCTGCTCTCCGTCTTTATATCTCACTGAGGTTACTGCCACCCACCACAGAGAGCTGACAAGCCCAGGGATGCTGATGATTGGTTTTCACTCCAGCTGAACTGGGCAATGGGATCTTGATAATTTAGTTAAAAAGTAAACCAGTAAAAGCAACTACCATTGATGAGATCATAGAGAAACAGAATCCCTCATCCATTGCTGGTGGGACTGTAAAATGGTGTAGTCACTGTGGAAAGCAGTTTGGCAGTTCCTCAAAAGTTGAATATAGACCCAACAATTCCAATCCTAAGTATATACCCAGAAGAAATGAAAGCAAGAATGCAAACAAATCCATATACCAGTGTTCACTCCAGCACTTTTCACAGTAGCTAACAGATGGAAACAACTGAAATGTCTATCAGCAGATGAATGACTAAATAAAATATGGTATACATACACAATAGAACATTATTTGGCCACAGAGAGATACATGCCACAACATGGATGAATCTTGAAAACATGCTGTGTGAAATAAGTCAGTTGCAAAAGGACAAATACTGTATGGTCTCATTTATATGAAATAAGCAAATATTTAGAAGTCAGAAATTAATAATGGTTACTAGGGGAGGGAGGAAGAAGGAACAGATGATTTTTTGTTGAGAGGGCAGTGAGTTTATGTGGTGGTGGGATGTTTTTGATGAGGATATCAGTTGGTGACATAACATGAAAAATATAATCAATGTCATTGAGTTGTAAATCTGGATGTTTTGGTGTGTATGTTTCACCACAATTTTTTTAAAAAAAGTGAAGCAATAATCAGTTGAACCAGTTGCCATCGAAACAGCTCAGACTCATGCCAACCACACGTATGTCAGAGTAGAACTGTGTTCCATAGGGCTTTTCATTGGCTTAGTTTTTGAAAGTCACTCACAAGTCCTTTCTTCCAAGGCACCTCTGGATAGATTTGAACTGCCAACCTTTCTGTTAGCAGTTGAGTGCCTCAACTGTATGCGCTCCCTCTTAATTTGAAGGAAGTTATTAAAACAGTGGTTTATCCCATGCCCCGCCTTATAAGATTACATATGTCAACACGTCTGTTGGGCCATTTAACTCCCCAGCTGTGCAATGATCTGAGTCTTCCTCGTCGCAGGGACCATAAGAACACTGCAGTGAAACAAACAGATTGATGGACTTTGGGTAGGGGATCTGAAGCTCTGTGTACTTCTCTGAGATGTGTTCAAAGCCCAAGGGCCTTTTTAAGAGGATAAAGTACATATAAGTGATTGTGTTAGGACTGGCATCCTGATGAGATGGACCAAGTACAGCCTTTGATGGAGTCAGGCCCTGGGGCCTATTCTGTCCCTGCCACCATCACGTAGACAGCATCTGCACCAAACCTCCTAGGGTTTGACTCTCAGTTCTGGCAGTAAACAGCTGCACCAAACCTCCCAGGGTTGACTCCTAGTTCTGCCAATAAACAGCTGTGTAACTTTAATCAAGTTAGTTACCCTTTCTGTGCCTTAGTTTCCACATATGTAGAATGGAGGCAACATTGTACCCACCTCACTAGATTATTTTGGGGGGTGAGTCAGTATACGTGATGGCAAAGGCAACATATACTTAATGTAATCACTTTCCCATTATTTCTACAACACTGTTGTTTGGGGTTTGGATGAGCTACCTAACTTCTGAGTTGCCTCATATATAAAATATATATAACAGTCTTACTGAGTTATAGGTTAAAATGTAATGATGGAAAGGGCCTGTCAGCTTGCCAGGCATACAGTACATGTGTGCCCAGCAAGTGATAACCCCTTTATTTTTCTAATGTCATATCGTTTAAACTCTAGGAAGGCCCAGATGCAGAAGTTGTTGGAGGAGAAAGATCCGTGTTTTACTTATTGATGAAAATGTTTGTGACCAGTAGTCATTCACAACTCAAGTCATCCACCAAACTTCTGATCATAAAGGTGAGTGTTTTCCACCAGTCTCTCATTCCAAGAAGCATTTTGCCCAGATCATTTTTGTAGTAGGTGCTTAGTATACCACTGTTGAATTAAGGATGCATTAGGAGTATTGTAAATTTGAAAACAGATATTGTAGTAGTTTTTATTTAAATGTCTTAAACTTAGCTGCATTCCTGAGTGAGGCAGCATGGTGAAGGGAAGAAAATAAGCCTCTGAAGTCCTACTCCTAGGTTTGGATCCCGGTTCTCTCACATCCTGGGTAGCATTGGGTAAGTTAACTTAACCTCTCTGAACTTAGTTTTCCCATGGTAAATGAGGATACTGAAATCATAGAGTTGCAGAGAAGATGAAATGTAATAAGGTAGTAGGCTGTGTCTGGTACTTCATAGGCCCAATAAATACTGGATTTCCAGCTCTCCTGGGCAGCTGTGTAGTGGACTCTGCCTCTTCCCTCATCTCTAGACTGTTGGCCTTCTCAGGACCTGTTAGCCTTTTTGACTTTGTCCATCATCCATAGCACAGACATCCTGTTGAAGTCAGTGGAAGAGAATGAACAGTTTGTTTACTTCTTTTCCTTCTACTTGATAGTTAGGTTTCCTGGGACTGGATCAGGTCTTACTGTAGCAGTAAGAAATCTAGATCCTTTATTTCTGCTATGCAGCAGATGTCTTAGAGGGTGCTACCCAAATAGTTTTCCTTTTTCTTTGAAGTGCTTACAATCCTGCTGCCCTTTAATATCCTCACCTGAGCTGCTTAGAAAACAAACATGTAGGCTTTGACCTCCACAGGTTGCTGTTTCTTTACAGGTAGTGCGGATGTGAACTTGATTCCATGATCACAACTTGCAGGTGGAAGTCCCTGGGTGGCACATACGGTTAAGTGTTTGGCTACTAAAGGAATGGTTGGTGGTTCAAATCAACCCACAGGTGCCTTAGAAGAAAGGCCTGGAAATTTACTTTCGAGAGATCACCAGCCCATTGCCATTAGCCATTGGATACCTGTGGAGCACAGTTTTCTTCTGACCTAAATGAGTCAGAATCAACTCAATGGCAGCTGTATTTGTGTCTTTTTTTTTTTTTTTTTTTTAATTGCAGTTGGGTGTGATTGGCGTAATCAGGTTTGCCTGTGGTACACTCATTGTAGGGCTTCCAGCCAGGAGGTCACCTTGGACCTAAAGTCTCTTAAATCAGGCCGTGTAGGATCATTGGTTATTCACACACATACATACACCCTGAGCACACACAGATTTAAGTCCAGTCTCATAACAAATTCTCTTCTGTTAGAAGCGACAGGTGCTTCTCGATCAAGGTCTGACCATTGTGGTGCCACATTGAGATGATGCAATGTGACTGGTTTGTTATTTTGGAGAATTTTTTACAGGGTGAGGGTTGAGCAGCTTTGAGGTCAAAGAGTCATGCATACTTTCCTGAGTCTGAAAATCCAGGTAGAAAATCAGACTCCTAAGGAGCAGGATATTTTTTCCCCTTTTTGTTATTTAGGAAATAGGGAAAAGGACTAATAAGCAGAAGACTAAAGGGTATCTTAGAATGATTCTTACTCTCTTTCCTGGTTTCCCTCACTGATAGGCATTATTTTGAAAGAGTAGCATTTAGAGTAAAAGTTGACTTTGGTAAGAATTTTACCCACTATGTGCTCCTTGGGTTTTTGTGTGGTGCTGGAACATGATTAAGCCACATCAGCGCCCACAGGACACAGACTCCATCCGGACTCTCCCACTGAGTCTCTGCTTCCTGACAGATTCTACGTGATACTGGGGTGTTTGAGCACACCTGGAATGAGCTGGAGCTGTGGCTGGAGCACCTGGACAACACTGTGGAGAAGAAAAAAGAAACTGTGATTCAATTTTTGGAAAGTGTAAGCATATATTTCCTGTCTTTCAGTGTAAAAGGAACCTGTTCAGGGGATAATGATACTAAATTATCTTCAGCATCATTAATGCAGTTTTGATGCATCGGTGCCAAAAGACTTCTCATCCTGATTTAGTTCCTAATTCTTACTGAGACTAATTCTTGTTTATCTTTAGAATATGTAAAAAGGGAATAGTTTACTTTATGCTTACTCCCACTAAACATGATATAAGTAGCCCTGGTGGCTCAACAGTTAAGCACTTGGCTGCTAACTGAAAGGTCAGTGGTTCGAACCTACCAGCTGGTCTTTGGGAGAAAAGACTAGGTGATCTGCTTCCATAAAGATTATAGCTTAGGAAACCCTGTGGGGCAGTTCAGCTCTGTCACATGTGCTTACCGTGAGTCAAAATCCACCTGGCACACAACAACAACAAACATAATATTAAAAGGGGATTTTTTTTTTTTTTAAATCCCACAATACATATTTTTAAAAAAGCTTTGAAATGTTAACACTTTAGCACATCGTTTTATTTTGACCACTGGTGTTCTTATCTTGTATCCATTTCTCTTGTGACCATCTAAATGTTTTGCACTTGGCTCTTTAATGAACAGGTTTTATTGACATTGGTGGCGAATCCATATTCATACACAGACAAAGCATCTGATTTTGTTCAGGAAGCCAGCACCCTGCAAACCACTATGACAAAGCAAGATGCCGACGACGTTAGCATCCCTGTCTCCCACATTGATGGTATGTCATGCTCCCTCTTGTACTGCTTGAGGTTCTGAAAATAGAGCTGCAGCTGCAGGTACAGGTTAGAGACAGAAAGGGTGAGAATTGCATTACTCTGCCTTCATGTAGCTACCACTCGTCTGTCAGTTTGTCATACTGTGGGGGGTTATGTGTTGCTATGAGGCTGGAGGCTATGTTACTGATATTTCAAATACCAGCAGGGTCACCCATGGTGGACAGGTTTCAGCAGAGCTTCCAGACTAAGACAGACTTGGAAGAGGCCATCCACTTCTCAAAGAATTGGCCAGTGAAAACCTTATGAATAGCAGTGAAACACTGTCTGATGTAGTATTGGAAAACTTGATGAATGGCTCTGGAACATTGTCCAATATAGTGCCAGAAGATGAGCCCCTCAGGTTGGAAGGCATTCAGTATGACAGCTCAAAATACAGTGGCTCAGGGATCTAGGTGGTGCTCATCCTGTGGCTATGCCATCTCAACATGTGGCTTCCAGGTCACTCTGCCTTCATGCAGTCTGCAGACATCCCATTTCTTTCAGTCATGAAATCAATCTGTTCTGGAAATGAAGATCACCATGTTTGTTAAACATTTACACCACTTATTTGCTGGATTATTTTCATTGGTTCGGTGTTTATTGTGTGCTGGGAACTTCTTTGAGTTCCTTACAAATCTTAGCTCATGTAAACCTCAATAGTAGTACCGATTACTATTGAGTTGATTCCACCTCATGGTGCCCCATGCATTTCAGAATAGAACTGATCCATAGGGTTTTCAATGGCTATGATCTTACAGGGGAGCTCTGGTAGCATAGTGGCTAAGGCACTTGACTGCTAACCAGAAGGCTGGCGGTTCAAACCCACCAGCCACTCCTCGGAAGGAAGGTTGGGCAATCCTACTTCCGTAGTGATACTGCCTCGGAAACCCAAGGAGGGGTCGCTATGAGTCAGGGCTGACTCGACGGCACATAACAACAACAACAACAACATGATCTTACAGAAGTAGATCACCAGGTCTTTCTTCTGTGGTGTCACTGGGTACATTCACATTGCCAGTCTTTTGGCTGGTAGCTGAGAGCAAACCATTGTGTCACCCAGGGACAAAACAACCCTAAGGGAGAGGTGTGATTATCCTCATTTTATAGATAAGGCAAATGAGGCCCAGGAAGGTTAAATAACTTGCCTCAGCTAACACCAGTAACACTAGTAAGTAGCAAAGTCAAGATTTGAATCCAAACACGGGCTTTAACCTTTATACTACTTTGCCTCTGAGATTTTGGCAGGTTTGCCTAAGTGTCCAGGTTAAAGCTCCTGGGCTTCTTGTCACTCGAGGCCATGTGGGGATGTCAGTAATTTCCCCTCCCCATTGCAGATTTAAGTCCTGCCTCATTACAAATCCTGTTGACTTAGGAACAGTGGGTGCTTCTTGACCAAGGTCTGGCTGTTACTTCCTCAGCTGAATAATCTGGATTTTGTTGTCAAAGACCTTAAAACTTCATGTAGGCAGTATCTTCATCTTTGTAGGATGATATTGATCATTTTCTCTTGAGAAAAGTTTAGCTTTCATTTTTTCTGTTTTTATAAATATTCTCTCACTTGTCCCTCCCCATGGGGTTCTTTGCAGTAGGATCCTTTGGGAGCTCTTACCTGGACTTCATTCCTCCCTTTCTGTTTCAGATGTCCTGGACATAGTGGACGTCCTGGTTGAGGGCAGTGAAGGCTTGAATGAGGAAATCGGGTTCTCATTGAACGAAGATATGATCTTGCTCACATTCCCATTCAGTGCTGTGATACCTGCAGCCCTGGAAGCTAGAAATAAGTTACTTCTTGGGAAAAAAAAGAAAGCAGGTACTCATTTATGGTCAGATGTTCTGGCTGCATCAGGCCAGCCAGGTCTTTGTGGGGTAGGAGGTTGGAACTCCAAGGCCTCTGGAAATAATTGCTGAAAACTCAGGTCAGGATTTCAGACCCATCAAAGTGATAGTGATAGTTACCCAGCTGGCAAGAGCTACAAGTACAGGGATAGAAATCTTGAGGCTGGGGAAGCTGGTGGAAATTGGTTATTTGAAGGATCAGATGTTTGCATGGTTGCACAGACACCAGCTGGAACACCGTGGTTTCTCTTCATTATTTATTTTTGATACCTTGACACTAGCAGTATGAATCATTCATATATGCTGGGTATCGAAGGGATTACATAGATCTCAATGGCATAATTAGTCAGGAGAGTACAGCTTTTGGTGCAGTAACAAGCCCCAACATTTCTGTGATTTCATGGCCTTGTCATAGTCCAGTACAGGTCAGTTGCTCTCCTAGATGGTTTTCCTCCAGAAGATGGCTCAGGGATCCAGGCAGCACTCGTCTTGTAGCTATGCCATCTCAACATGTGGCTTCTAGGGTCATTGCCGAAGAAGAAGAGAGTGGACAGTCAGCAGGAGGTGCTGTGGCCGGGCCTAGAAGTGACTAAACTTAGCCATGTGGTCCCAACCTTGGAGGCTTGTGTGCCGAGAAAGAGAATTGGGAGTACCTAGCCTGTTTTTACCAAGGCAGCTTTTGCCTCACCTTTTCAGGGCCTGGATGATCATACTTCTGGGCCTACAGACTTGAAGTCTGACTGTGTCTGTATTTAAAAAACAGTCCCTGTTCAGTCTGCTACTATACCTCATGCACAGCCACTATCCGTCTGTTGGTGGAGGCTTGTGTATTAACTATGAGGCTGAACAGGTTTTAGCAGAACTTTCACACTGAGATGAGCCCTGGTGGCACAATGGTTAAAGCATTCAGTTGCTAACCAAAAAATGTCAGCAGTTCAAACCTACCAGCTACTCCATGGGAGAAAGATGAGGCCATCTGCTTCCATAAATAGTTACAGGCCCTGTGAGATAGCTCTGCTCTGTCCTATACGGTCACTGTGAGTTGGAATTGATTAGATGGCAGTGAGTTTTTGTTTGTTTCAGACTAAAACAGTAGATCTGGTGAGCCGCTTCTGAAAATCAGTGAAAACCTTATATGTCATAGTGGATCACAGTGGATTATGGGGATCACATGGGGTTGTTCTGAGTCAGAGCTGACTTAGTGGCAGCTAGTGACAAGAATAGTACACTCTGCAGTGGTAGCATCTGCCTTCCAGTGTAGTTGTGGAATTGGCATGACTTTTTCTGGGTCTTGAATATTTATGGGGTATGAGATGATTGATGAATCACAGAAGGGGGTCCCAGCAAGCCTTCCCACTCATATCTCATCCTTGGCAGGAGCAAGCATTGTGGCATACCTGACGGCAGTGTTGACAGACCTCCTCCACACCCAGAGAGACCCCCTGGCTCTGTGTCTTCTGCTCCAGGCTTATGATAAGTTAGAACCCACAGGCTCACTCTGGTGCAAGCAGCTCTGCCGGTTTCACAAATACTATAGCCTCTGGATCCCAGAGCAAGCCCGAGAAACCTTGGTGAGTAGCGGCCATAGCTGTGACACTGCTCCGGCTGAGGCCTGGGGCTTTCCCTAGAAAATCTCCGAGGTTTCTCCCATGGGACACAGCTGGTGCTATACAGCTTGCAGGGTAAAATTCCTTCACCTTCCACCCACTCCCATCAAGTCAATTCTGAGTCATAGCAGCCCCATTGGGTTTCCAAGGCAGTAAAACTTTGGACGACTCGATGGCAAACAACAACAACACAACAACAAAAACTTTATGGAAGTCGATTGCCTTTTCTTCCTTCCACAGAGCATCTTGTGGATTTGAACCACCAGCCTTCTGGTTAGCAGTCAAATGCCTTAGGCACTATGACACCAGAGCTCCTTCTACATTTCTACTGCTAAGAGAGGAAGCTCAGTGGTATTACTCTACTCAGCTGATGTGGCTGGGATACAAAGGACTCAGTAATGCAGCAAAATTAAATTTTCCCCTGGCTCCATTATAATGATAATTGCCTAATCACTGTTTCAGCTTTGAGGCTGCGTTTTCCTCTTTTTCCCTACTGAGTCAATGGTGTCTTGGCTGTCTTCAGTGGACTAAGCTTAGCCTGTCCCCAGACTTACCAGTGCTCAGCCTTGAGGCTTGGCCTTAGAGGCTCCTAGCAAGTTCCATTTTGCTAAAACTGGGAAAGTAAAGAGAAAAAAAGAAGTTTTTATTTTATTTATGAGGAGTACATTCCTATAGCGGAGGGACTATGATTCTGACTGTAACACTGACTATTTACAAATGCTAGGTTGGGCAAGAAATTAACTTTGCAATGTGCATTTTTGTTTTTTCATTCAATTTTAACTGTCCTCAAGTAAGCTGGCTGTTTTGGACCTCCTTGTGATATTAGTGACAGTGGCTCACGTTGAATGCATTTTTACCATTTGCTAGGCTTTATATAATTTTCTGTGCTGAGCTTGTTTTGTTTATAAATTGTGTTATCACTTCCTTCGTTGCTATTGTTTTAGTATTTGTGCAATAGCTGGTCCTCTTTTCATTTTGATGAGAAGGCTTATCATTTTGCTTTGAGGTTACCCTGTGATTTGTAGTTTTCTTCCCAAGTTTAGAACAGTCTGTTCTATCTTGTAGTTGTCTTGACTTCCCTACCATTTAGAAGTTCTATAATAACACAGTTTTTTTCCCTCTTTTTGGTATGTATTTGTCCTCATTTGTCAATTGATTTCTCTGGTTCCCTGTTTATAATCTTGTAGGCTTATTTACTTTGGATACTTCTATAACTGGGTTGGTTTCTGGGTTATGTCATCATGTGTGTTAATGGTCAGTTATTGTTTGTTGTTTTTAGTTTTCTGTCCAAAGGGACTCCCTTTAGTATCTCTTGTAAGGTTGGTCTGGTTTTAACAAATTCCCATAATTTCTGCTTATCTGGAAGTGTCCTAATTTCACCATCATATTTGAGGGACAATTTTGCTGCGTATATAATTCTTGATTGGAAATTTTTCTCTTTCAGACTTTATATATACCATCCCATTGTCTTCTTGCCTGCATGGTTCCTGCTGAGAAGTCTGAGCTTAGTCTTGGTTGCCTCTTGTAGGTAACTTTTCGTTTTTCCCATGCTGCTTTCAGGATTCTTTCTTTGTCTTTGGTTTTGGTGAGTTTGATGATGATATATCTTCTTGTTGTTGTTGTTATGTGCTATCAAGTCAGACCCGACTCACAGCAACCCCTCCTTGGGCTGCTGAGGCAGTATCACTACGGAAGTAGATTGCCCAGCCTTCCTTCCGAGGAGTGGCTGGTGAGTTTTAACCGCCAGCCTTCTGGTTAGCAGTCAAGTGCCTTAGGTACTATGCTACCAGAGCTCCTGATGATGTCCTGGTGATTTTCTTTTGGGGTCTATCCTGTTTGGGGTTCATTGGACTTCTTGAATGGGTATATTCTCATCTTTCATCATACCAGGAAAATTCTCTTCCAACAAATCTTTGACAATTTTTTCTGTCGTTTTATTTGTCTCTTCCTGTTCTGGAATTCCGATTACACATAGGTTATTCCTTTTGATGGTATCCCACATGAACCTTAGACTTTCTTCATTTTGTTTTGATCTTTTTTCTGATTGTTCCCTTTCCAAAGAAGTATTCAGGTATTTGCTTTCAATCTTGTAATTCTGTCTTCCATTGATTCAATTCTGCTCCTTTGCCTGTTCAATGTCTTACCTATTTCTGAAAATTTAGTATTAATCTTCTGGGTTTCTATCTGTAGATTTTGTATCATTTTTAATTTTTCAATTATTTTGTCATTTTGTTCTTGTATTATCTTTTGAAATTGTTGTAGGGTTTTCTCTGTGTTTTCCTCAATTTTGTCAGTGTTTTCCTTGATCTGTCTCTCAGTTCATTGAAGGTATCTAAATATAATTCTTTTGAATTCCTTATCAGGTAGTTCCAATACTGATTCTTCCTCAGGGATGTGTTTTGGGTCTATATCCTGGTCCCTTGTTTCTCCTGCTTTATCTTGCTTCTTTGTGTGAACTGTCATGCTCTGTTGTCTCTGAGGCATTGTGTTTTTGTGTTTATATTTACTGGTGATTGATTGTATGTTGGAGTGACTTGCCCACGATTTTTGTTTTCTTTGTATGTTATCTGTGTAAGCAGGGTACTGTGCTGTGCCCCTTTGTTCCCTAGTTGGCAGCCTTATACACTCACCACCTGTCTCCTTTCCCATTGTCAGCCTCCCATATGTCCCTGTCATCCTTGGCAAATGAGCCTACTCTTAGGTCCCTGGAATCTGAATGAGAATGCTGTCACTTTAAAATCCAAAATGGCCACTGCTTGTAAACATTCAAAATGGCTGCACCCTCAGTCACTTTAAATATCCAAAATGGCCACTGCTTGTAAACAGTCAAAATGGCTGTGCCCTCCAGACAGCCAAAAGTCCACAGCTCAGGTTGTTTCCCTCCTTGCTGTTTCCCTTTCTAGTCGTAGGCCACCAGCGCAATCATCCCTGCAGCCCTTGGCAACCAGGGCTGATCTTTAGGTCAATTCTCAGGTCCCAACACCACTTGGAAATATTCAGGCTGTTGGTCCCGTTAGAGTAGCTGACAGTCCACTACTCTGACCGTCTCTGTACTCACTGTTTTCGTTCAGGTGCCTAATCCACTTCTGTATACTTCCTCTCAAAGCTCAGGGCTCCAGAATTATCTTCTGTATCTCTGTCAGTTGGTTTCTCTTTTCTTTGTTGAAGAGGGTCTGTGTAGCTTGTCTGCCTATTCCATCTTCCCGGAAGTCTCCATCTGCTAGGCTTTATACTAAGTGTGCTGCCTGGGTGTTAAACCATTTAATACTCACAACTCTGAGAAGGTCAAGACTTCCTAACCTCATTATATAAATGGGGACACTAAGGCACAGAGCAGTTTCCCACCAGCAGTCAGTGGTGGCTTGTGCCCAGGGAGTCTGGCTTCAGAAATTGAGCCCATAATAACATTGCTACCTTCGTGTACTCATAGGCCATGGTTGAAGAATTGGTTATGGTTGGAGGTTCAGGGTGACACCTCACAAGTACTCAAAATGTCAGCTGTCAATTGTTTAAGCTATAGCAGTGGTTCTCATGCTTTATATTGCACCATTGGTCCCAGAAGAGTTGATCAAACAGATTGCTGGGCCTTAACCCTGGAGTTTCTGGTTCATTAGGTCTTCAGTGAGGCCTGTGAACCTGTTTCTAGTAAGTTCTCAGGTACTCCTGCTACTACTTGTGAGACCACACTGTGAGATCCACTGAGTTTCTAGCCTTGCGTTTTATTGGCCTCAAGAAATTGAGTGTTAGGTACAAGCTACGTGGAGTAAAGAAGGCTGTTTGGGAATTATGTGAGAAGAAACAAAACAACTTCAGTGTGAAGCAGAATGACTCTAGAGTTTACTTCATCCCTCGTCCTCTTGTCCTTTCAAAACATTCTGACCGAGGCTCCTGGAGGGCCTTTAGAAGACATGAGTCTCGAAGAATGGCTCCTTGCCAAGGTGTTACTTCCCAGTGTTTCCAGTCACCAGTGCCCGTGACTGATTAAAGTCATGTCACCTCTCACGTGGTTTCCATGTGCAGTATATTTTCTCCAAAAGTGTGTAAATGTCTCCTGTCTTAGTTTGCTAGTGTTTCTGTAACAAATATCACAAGTTGGTGGCTTTAAAGAACTGAAATTTATTTCCTCACAGTTCTGGAGGCTAAAAGTCCAAATAAGAATTCTGGCCCTGTCAATTCCTTCCTTGTCAGAAGCCTTGAGCATCTCTGGATTCCTTGATGATTCTTAACATGGCATCTCCCTTCCCCTGTGAATGTCTTTGTATCCATTTTGCTCTTTTATAACTCAAAAGAGATTAGATTTAGGACACACCCTACTCAGGTATGCTGTAATTAACATAGCAAAAGTTTATTTCCAAACAAGATTATACCCACAGATATAGGAGTTAGAGTTCCCTCACATACTTTTTGGGGAGTATAACTTAATCTATAACACCTTCTGGTACTGTGCCTTCACATTCTGTCAGCACAACACTAGGAATATTTGTGTGACCGATAACACTGGAACTTAATTTGCTTATGTGAAATGCTGTATGGCTACATGTTTTTTACTATTAGTGGTTATAGTGAAATACCTCTTGGTTAGAACATCACCCTGTGTCTGTTTGACTAGACTGTACCTTTCTCATCTATGGGACATATTTCTGCTCTTGTCTGAGCTTTTGCTGTCTCCCTCAGCCTCTTCAGACCTTGGGCAGCATTGCGCCCTGTGCGCCTTCCTCAGACTCCTCCTTTGCTACCCTGCTGAAGACGGCCTACGAGAGCAAGGATGCACTCCTGGACAAGGGTGTTCAGGCACAGCTGCAGACGGCCATCCTGCACCTCCCACTGCGCCAGGTCCTGCGCGCGGTGAAACACGTGCTGCTTTACCTCAGGACCACTGTGGAGAATTTCAGCCAGGTCAGCACTGCCCCTGCCCATCCTTCCAGTCCCCAAGTATTCTACTTCCAGAGAACTTGGTCTTCCCAGGGGACCAAAATGAATGGTGGGATTTGCAGAATCTTGGAACTGGAAGGAACAGGCCCTGGTGGCATGGCAGTTAAGTAATCAGCTGTGAACCTAAAGCTTGGTAATTCAACCTACCAGCCACTGCTTGGGAGAAAGATGTGCCCATCTGCTTCCGTGAAGATTTACAGCCTTGGAAACCCTATGGTGCAATTCTACTACTAGGTCTCATAGGATTGCTATGAATTGGAATCAACTTGATGGCAATGAGTTTGGAGCTGGGAGGGGGCTTCTATGACATTGACCCAGCCCACATGTGACTGACACAGGTGGGCCACAGGGTGAGACTGGGGCTCTGGGACTTGGTCTGCTTGCTCAGTTTGCTTTCCCCACCTGGGCTGCCTCACCTCCTAAGAGCAGCTTCAGAGAGGGAGCCAAATGCCATCTAACTTTGTAGTTGAGGCAGCTGCTAGTCAGGACAGACAAAAAATAAACCAGTTGCCATCGAGTTCATTCTGACCCATGGCAACCCATGTGTGTGTCAGCATAGAACTGTGCTCCATAGAATTTTCAGTGGCTTATTTTTTAGAAGTAGATTGCCAGGGCGTTCTTCCAAGGCGACTCTCTGTGCACTTGAATCTCCAACCTTTTAGTTAGCAGCCAAGCATATTAACTTCTTCACTACCCAGGGACTCCTACTCAGGGCCAAATAAAATTTTAAAAAAACAAAAAACCCACTGCCATCGAGTCAGTTCTGACTCACACTAACCCCCTCATTGGGTTTCTAAGACTAAATCTTTTCTGAAGTAGTTTGCCTCATCTTCCTCCCATGGAACAGCTGGTGGATTTGAACCGCTGACCTTTTGGTTAGCAGCCAAATGCCTTAGCCTCTACACCACCAGAGCTCCTTAGTCAGGACAAGGCCCCTCTTAAAGTAAATTACATCTGCAGCAAGGCCAGGCTCCCTACTTTCCATCTTCTTTAATTTCATTCACTCAGTACATTGTTGAGCTTCCTGTCCTTGCTGTTGTTCATAGATACTGAGTTTATGCTTAGAGGTGAGCTCTATCCTCTTATTTTTGTCAAAATAGCCCTTTGTGTTTTATCAAGATGTAGGTGGAAAAGTCTTACTGTTTGAGAAAGGACTTTGAGATTATTGGCATTTTATAAACACTATGTGAAAAAGCCAAACGAAACTCACTGCCGTTGAGTCAGATCCAACTCATAGCAACCCCTCCTTGGGTTTCCAAGGCAGTATTCCTATGGAAGTAGATTGCCCAACCTTCCTTCTGAGGAGTAGTTGGTAGGTTTGACCCGCCAGCCTTCTGGTTAGCAGTCAAATGCCTTAGGTGCTATGCCACCAGAGCTCCCACTACGTGAATAGGAATTTCCATTTTCAATGCTGCCTCCCTTCTTGAGTCTCGTTTTCTGCTCTGATGGTGATTGCACCTTTGGTAGCATAGGACTTGGCAGTCGTGGTGTTGGTGATTACCAGCCCTGCTCTGGTCTAAGGAGTCGTGCTTTCATCCTCACAGCTAGGCAAAAGTGTGGGGCCGCCCCTCCTACAGCTCTTCATGGATCTCCTCCGGGGCCTGCTTGCCCACTGTGAGCAGCTGGATGCCCAGAACCAGCAGAGATGCAAGGCTGCCCAGGATGAAGCTGACCTCTTCTTGGACGTGGAGTCCTTTGCCTCCCTGGAGCTGGCCAGTGACAAGGTACCACCACTTTCTTCTGAGGGTATCTTGTGAGCCTTACCCTGTAAAGTCACAGATACTGGCTTTCCCTCCACATCTGGGTTTAAAAGTAGTATGTGTTCATTATAGAAATGTAGGAAAATGTAGAAAAACAGAGAAGATATTAGAAGTGATCCACAATAACCCCACCCAGAGATGAGCATGGTGTAGCTTGGGCATTCATTTTTCTGTGTGCTTCCCCCGCCGTAGGTAGCATTCTCTGACACTGTGGGAAATGTACTACTCGAGAGACTTAAAGCGAATATTTATTCTTTTCATAGTTGCAGCCCATTTTGAATCAAGAAAGGGCAATGGATAAGGCTTTTCATAGTAAATGCACCAGGGAACACTGCTCCAATGATAAGAATACACCCTTTTTCTCCTGCCTTTCATTTAGTGAAGCCAGCTGTTTGATTGGGGCCAGGGTGAATGTTTCTCTCACATTTTACCATCTGACCTGTGTTACTGGTCTCAGGAAGCAAACATGTTTCTCGTTTCACAGTCTGATTCAAATACATGGCTTCCTACCGCTGATCTCCAGGTGGACTCTCTGGGGGATGGGGCGTGGCATTGTTGTTAGCTGCCCTCAAGTCAGCTCCAACTCATGGTGATCCCCATGTGCAACAGAATGAAACTGCCTGGTTCTGTGCCATCTTAAAAATCACTGATATACTCATGTCCATTGTGTGGCCACTGTATTTTGAGTGTCTTCCCACCTAGGGGCTCACAGTATTCTCTTGTCATCCATAGGGTTTTGTTGACTGACTTTCGGGAGTTGGTTGCCAGGCCTTTCCTTCCAATATGTCTTAGTCTGAAAGCTCCCCTCAAACTTGTCCGCTATAGATGACCCTGCTGGTATTTGAAAAATAGTGACATAGCTTCCAGCATCATAGCAACATGCAAGCCACCCCAGTATGGTGGTGGCTTGTTGCCACAGGACCAGCTGTTAGCCAGTCAGCATGGAACTAAGCAATACTGCCACATAATGTGCTTTTTTGAAAACTGGCAGCACTTGGTTGGAAAGCATGTAGACTTCTCTCTCCTTCCCTTAAGAATATATAAGGATAGAAGACTTATTCCTGGCCCTGGGGACTGGTGTAACATTGTTGGCTTGGAATCATATTTAGCAAGGCTGCTTAAAAGAACTGAGTGAGAATTTTCTCTAATCCTGACAAGGCTGCGTGGCTGCATTCTGATTAGTGGTTTAAACTCAGTTGGGCATGTCAGAGCTCATTTCTCAGGGGACCTGTGATAGTACAGGACCACTTGAGGCTCAGTTCTCTTCCAAAAGTGGAGGCAGGATTACCTTCTGTTCAGGGTGGTGGATAACCCTCCTTCCCCAGACATGTGGTCTCTGCTAAGCCGTGATTGCCTGCTCAATTGTCTGGAGAAACCCACAAGCCAAATATGCTTAGGAGGGCAAGACTGCTAAGGAGGAAAAGAGAGATAATTGTCCCTAATACCACTTTGGTGCCCCTGCCTGGCCTGTCCTCTCCAGGGAGACCCTGGAGAGCAGTTTACTGTATAGTAAACTCATTCAGATGAATTCATCAGGTGCATCCTGGGCTCTGCAGGGCTCTGACCAGGTCACAGTATAGCCCCCACAGTGCTCGCTATCATATGTGGGAGACAGATAAGCACATCAGTGGTTACATTACAACTGAATGGTAGCTGTGACTGGGGTGGAGTTTAGGTGCAGTGAGCACCCTTAGGGGCTGTCAGGCTTGAGAATGATGGATTTGCAAAGCTGCTTTTTGCTCTCTATACAGCATCAGTAGCTAATACTTATGTGGCAGCTGCTGTCCTCTCCCTGACCCGGGTGCCATGGTGACATCTGTGCTTTGCTCACTCTTTCCAGACCCTGGAGGAGGTGCTCACGGCCATCCTCAGACACCCCACACTAGAGAGCTGGTTCCTGGCCTTGGAGCGGCAGGCCCTCCCCCTGCACACCCTCAGCCCCATCCTTGTAAAGCTCCTGGCAGCCCATCTGAGTGCAGGGGTCCTTCAGCTTCTGGTCACGAGTGCCCCAATCCTCCGGAACATAGGCCAGCAGGGCCTCCTCCGCAAGTACTTGGAGGCTGTCACCCAAAGCGTTCTGAAAGAGCTGCAAGTCAGGAAGGCAGCCCCAACCACATCACTACCCAAGGCCCTTCCACAGCTGGAGGCCCTGCAGGCACTGCATCCGTACATGGAGGGCACCCAGCTCCGTGAGGTCACCCAAGCCCTCCTGGGCCTGCCCGAGGCCTGCCTGGTGACCCAGTGGCCAACAAAGTCCCCTGAGCAGGGGAGACACCTGAACATTCTTGGGAGGACACTGGTCCAACTGCTGACCAGTAGCCCCCAGGACCAGCTGCCAAGTGGTGAGCTGCTGTGGACCTCTGAGTATGTGAGGAGTCTGGGAGTGTTGCTGCCCACACTGGCCATGGAGGAGTTGGACAGAGTGTTCTTCCAGACTCTACAGAGAGACCCTGAGCTGGCCTCCGTGGTTGGGGTCAGCCTCCTTGACTACTGCCTGGCTCGGCAGACACCGGCAACCCTACACATCGTCACCTTACTCCTTCAGCAAAGCTGTACCCACCTGCTGCGTTTCGAGCTCTGGTGCCTGCAGGCTGGCTCTAGGCTCATCCTACAGGAGGACCTCAGTGCCTTCCTCCCCCTCATCCACATGTACCTCCAGTGCCGATCTCGAGGACACTTCACGCGCCTAGCAAGAGGTATGGGCTGGCTTTGGGTACCTAGAGGGACTGGTGAGGTGTACTGCATGTTCATGGTTAAACTCAGGAGCTGCATGTCCTAGGGTGTGGCTTAGTTCCATTTTGGTGTCAGATCCAGCTCTGAAGATTCTGAAATCCTGGCTCAATACCACTCCCTCAGCCCTTCAGCCTCTCAACTTTATGTCTTGAGGTCTAGTTTTTTATGCCCTATTAACTACGAGTTATCTCACAAGAGCAGGGAATGGACAGCAATTGGGACCATATTGGGATGGAGGAGAGAATCAGGTCAGCTTGTCCTGTCAGGCTGAGGAGGTCTGGCCCTCATCCTGCCTCACTTTCCCCATGCAGAGGGGGATTTTGAGAAGCTGATAGCTGAGGCAGCTTCCCCTTCCTCTTCTTCCACCTGCCAGATTTCTTATATAAGGTACTTTTTTGAAATCAAATTTCATTTATTTCTTTTTTATTATATGTATGAGTGATATTTTCACTCACTGTTTTGTGTAACTTCATGTCAATGATTAAAGTTTTTTTTGTTTTGTTTCTGTTTTTTTAGGAGCTCTCATGGCATTGTGGTTAAAGCATTGGGCTGCTAAACCACAAGGTTGACAGTTCAAACCCATCAGCCACTCTACAGGGGAAACACATGGCAAATTTACAGCCTTAGAAACCCTGTGGGGGCAATTCTACTCTGCCCTATAGGGTTACTATGAGTTGAAATTGACTTGAAGCAGTATGTTTGGTTTTTTAGTTTTGGTTTTTCTTTTTAATTGTGGTACATACATATATAACGTAACATTTGCCATTTCAGCATTCTTCATGTGTACAGGTCCATGATGTTAAGTTGTGTTCATCATGTTATACAACCATCATTGTTACTTATTTTCACATTTTTCCATCACTCTTAACAGAAGCTCACGATCACAGATTTTTTTTTTAAAGTAACAGAGAGTTCCCCAACCCACCTGCAAGAGTGGGTTTCCAGTAGGTGGTTCTCTGTGCATTCCTCTTTATGAACCTGTGCCTTTGGAGACATCCCTTATAGTCCAGAATGTTAGTACTTACAGTCTTATCATGAACTTAGAGTCCTGGGGCCTACTGTTAGTGTTGGCTGATGAGATACCAGTGGCATGCTGATAAGTGTTTAATAGCCAGCTATGGGAGAGGCTGATTTATAGCACTTGCCAATTTCCATGGTGTAAATACTATTGCCATGGCCAATTTGAAGCTGCAATTATGATAGCAGCCAGCTCCCAAGATTCCTAAAAATATTAATAGTCAGCTCTTGCAAGCTGGAACAAACTGACTCCAGCACACCCTTGTGTACAACTACCTCTCTTTGTGTCTCCACCCCAGTTTCCTCTGCTGTCACTCCTGTCTTGAGAAAGGCCTTGTGGAGGCAGCTGCAGAGGCGACTTCTCAGTGCTGATGGCCCCCCAGAGTCTGGGCTGCATCAGGAGGTCCTGTCCCAGCTCGTCCCATTCGCAAGAACCAAGGATCTCAGGGTTCTCATGGAGCATTTGCCCGCCTTGCTTCAAACTCCAAGCAGTCATAAGAGGTATGAAGGCTTAGATCATTTGATGGCTATTCCCCTCTCTTTTCCACTTCCCTTTAGTATTTGTAAGCTAATTTATTGACAAATCACCACAATATTGTACTAGTCAATGAGAAGACAGTTCCTATATGAACTTTTCCTTCCAGCGTATTGGTTGGAGCAAGTATATCTCTACAAGTGATTTGCTGGTTCTGATTCCTGTGGAGCAGTGGTTCTCAACCAAGGGTGATTTTGCCTCCTGAGGGCCATCTGACATTGCCTAACGTTTTTGGTTGCTGCAGCTGAGGAAAGAGGGTAGAGGCCAGGGATGCTGCTAACATCCTACAGTGCACAGGATAGTTCCGACAACAGAGAGTTACTGATCCCAAAATGGCAGTGGTACCAGGGTTGAGAAACCCTGACTCAGAAAAAATCTGGACATATATCCTTCTCCTGGTGTGCTGATATTTTTTCCCCAGGTCATAAAAATTATTACATCTTTGATGTTTGATAAGAGGCAGGAGAAGTCTGTGGTTCCTATGATTGAGTAGTATGGGGAGCAGGCCTTAGGGCAAGAAGAGTCCACTGTTCATCTGTCTCATATATCCCATTGTAGTGTTTGATTATATATGAAAGCTTCTCCTGTAATTTTGTGCCATTTGTCTTCTGCTGCAGTTGGATTGTGGCTGACTCTGTCTCGATAGTCTTGGAAGGGTCAGCAGAAGAGCTGCATGCCTGGAAAAAGATTCTTCTGGAATCATGTATAAAATGGCTGATTATGTCTTTTAGTAGCCAAGAGGATGGTAACAATACTCAGGATCAAGAGAGGCATATGCTGCTGAGATTAAATGAACTTCTGGTAAGTGTCTTTTCTTGAGATGATGGTAAATATTTAAGGTAGAGGGTAAGATAAACAGACAAAACTTTACAAATACATTTCAAGCCAGGTGGCATGAATATGGCATGATAGAAATGAAAGGCACCATGTCTAGGAGACAAAGTGGTGGGTGGAGGGCAACCCCTGAATTTTGAACCATCTTTTGTCAGGAATGGCTGCTGTATTTTGTCAAATGTTTTTATTTTGTCTAGTGATATTATATAGCTTTGTTTTTTTAGTCTGTTAATATGGGGAGTAGTTCTAATTGATTTTTTAACGTTAAGCCACCTTGTATTCTTGGGATATACCCATTTAGTCATAATATAATGTCCTTTTCATATATTGTGTTGGATTTGATTTGCTCATATTTTGTTAAGAATTTTTATATCTACTTTTGCTTATCAAAAGACCTCACCAAAAGGAATGACAGACTGGAAAAAAAAAATTTGGCAATGACCTATCTGATAGAGACCTAATCTGTAAAACTTACAGAGAACTTCACCACCTCAACAACAAAAAGACAAACAATCCAATTAAAAAATGAAAGACATGAACAGACACTTCACCAAAGAAGACCTTTAGGTAGCTAACAAACACAAGGAAAGATGCTCATGATCATTAGCCAATAGAGAGATGCAAATCAAAACTATAGTGAGACACCATCTCACCCAAGCAAAAATGGCAAATATCAAAAAAACAGCAATAAGTGTTGATGAGGCTTTAGGGAGATAGGAACACTTATACGCTGCTGGTGGGACTGCAAAATGGTATAACCACTATAGAAAGTAGTATGATGCTTGCTTAAAAAGTAAGAAATAGAAATGCTGTATGATCCAACATTCCCAGTCCTAGGTATGTATCCTGAAGAAATAAGAGATGTGACACACCCATATTCGTTGCAGCATTATTCACAATAGCTAAAAGATGGAAACAACCTAAATGCCCATCAACAGATGAGTGGATAAGCAACCTGTGATACATACATACTGTTCTGGTTACCTAGTGCTGCTCTGACAGGAATATATACCACAAATGGGGATGGCCTTAACAAACAGGCATTTATTCTCTTACAGTTTGGAGGCTTTAAGTCCAAGTTCAAAGTGCCAAGCTCTAGGGGCTGGATGAAAGTCCCTCAGCCTTGGGCTTCAGCTCTGCCCCCAGCTCTTAGCCCACTGAAGCTGGAAGCTTTTCTTCACTCAGACAGCTTCTGGCTGCTGAGGCTCCCAAGCCCAAGGTTGACAAGTAAAAAGGCACAGTCCTCATGTTACCAAACAACACAGCAGGCCATTAATTCGAGACAATTGTAAGTCCAAGGTAGGAAGAGCATGGCAGGCTGCTGAACAACGACATGGCTACATGCAGGGTCCAAGCGTGCCATAGGCTGGAGACCATTCCCAAAGCTCTTTCTTATATACGGGAAGCAGACCACATATCCAAAGGCAGTTACTCAGCTGCTCACAGTAGATTCTGCCATGGAGTTGATTACCAGTCTCATGATGGGTATTACATCAATATTACATCCAGCTGCCCAGCCACTCAACCAGGCCTAGCCAAGTTGACACAAAAACATAACCATCACACATACAATGAAATACTATGCTATGATTAAAAAAAATGATGAATCTTTGAAACATCTCACAATATGGATGTATCTGGAGGACATGCTGACTGATAAATCTCGATCACAAAAGGACAAATAATTGTAGGAGACCCCTATTATAAAAGTCAAGAAAATGTTTACACACAGAAGGAAACATTGATGGTTAACAGGGATAGGAGGGAGGGAGAAACATTAACTAGATAGTTGTCATTGGGTGTCATTGAGTTGGCTCCGACTCACAGGGACTGTGTGTATAACAGAATGAAACGCTGCCTGTTCGTGCACCATCCTCATAATCCTTGTTATATTTACCCCATCGTTGTAGCCACTTTGTCAGTCCATCTTGTTGAGGGTCTTCCCCGTTTTCACTGACCCTCCACTTTACCAAGCATATCCTTCTCCAGGGAGTGGTCCCTTCTGGCAATATGACCAAAGTAGGTGATACCTTCCAGGACAGATTTTTTTCATCCATGGTATTTTCAGTATTCTTCACCAAACCCCAATTCAAAGGCATCAGCTCTTCCTCAGTCTTCCTTATTCATTGTCCACTATCGCATACTTCTGAGGCAATTGAAAATACCATGGTTTAGGTTAGGTGCACCTTAGTCTTCAAAGAGACATCTTTGTTCTTCAACACTTTAAAGAGGTCTTTTGCAGAAGATTTGCCCAGTGCAATATGACGTCTGATTTCTTGACTGCTGCTTCCATGAATGTTGTTTGTAGATCCAAGTAAAATGAAATCTTTGACAACTTGAATCTTTTCTCCATTTATTGTGATGATGCTAATGGGTCCAATTGTGAGGATTTTTGTTTTCTATATGTTGAGATGTAATCCATACTGCAAATTAGTCTTTAATCTTCATCAGTAAGTGCTTCCTTTGCTTTCAGCAAGCAAGGTTGTATTATCTGAATATTGCAGGTTATTAATGAGTCTTCCTCCAATCTTGATACTGTGTTCTTCTTCATAGAGTCCAGCTTCTCAGATTATATGCTCAGCATACAGATTGAATAAGTGTGATGAGAGGATACAGCCCTGATACACACCTTTCCTGATTTTAAACCATGCAGTATCCCCTCGTTCTGTTCAAACAACTGCCTTTTGGTCTATATACAGGTTCCACGTGAGCACAATTAGGTGTTCTGGAATTCCCATTCTTTGGAACATTATCCATAATTTATTATAATCCACAGAGTCGAATGCCTTTGCATAATTAATACTACAGTAATAATAAATAATAATTTTTGAGTAGATGCATAGGTAAATAAAATTAAAAAAAAAAAAAAACCTCACTGCCATTGAGTTGATTCGACACATAGCGACTCCTCCTTGGGTTTCCAAAGCGGTATCACTATGGAAGTAGATTGCCTAACCTTCCTTCCAAGGAGTGGCTGGTGGGTTTGAACCACCAGCCTTCTGGTTAACAGTCAAATGCCTTAGGCACTATGCCACCAGAGCTCTGAAAATTTAGCTCCTTAGACACAGGCACTGCTGGGTACATAGGTAAGTGTATATGCTAAATATGCAAGAGAGGTCATACAGGAGAATACCCAAATACATGTACAGGTATAGTTGTGGATATTTCTGCATACATACTTGTAAATGCTGCATATATACCCATATATATTGGAGGGCACAGGTATGGAAACAACTTAGACATCAAGACTGAACTGTTGGACTTGAAGGCTAAGGACCATAGTGTCAGGGAACATCTACTTCAATTGACAAAACACAGTTCATAAAGAGTCTTCTATATCCTAGTCAGGTGCGTAGCATCTGTGGTTTTAAAAGCTTGTGAACAGCCTTCTAAGAAGTAACTATTGGTCTCTTCCTGCCTGGAGTAAAAATGAAGAAAACAACAAGTTAATTTCAGTGTAATTAGAGAATATATTTTGAATGACCTGAATCCTTTTACATTTTATTGAGACTCTTTTTTTGAGAGTAAGTTTAGTTTTTGGTATTGTTGTCGTTATGTGCCCTCGAGTCAGATCCGACTCATAACGACCCCTCCTTGGGTTTCCGAGGCAGTATCACTACGGAAGTAGATTGCCCCATTTTCCGAGGAGTGGCTGGTGGGTTTGAACCACCAGCCTTCTGGTTAGCAGTCAAGTGCCTTAGGCACTATGCTACCAGAGCTCCTAGTTTTTGGAATAGAATGTGGTATATCTTAGCAGATATTTTTGTGCACTTGAAATCAATGTGTTTTCTGCTATTTTGGAGTGAAATGTTCTAAAAATGCCCGTTAGAGAAGGACGGTTTTAATTTAATGTCAGCCTGTTAATGTGCTGCTGCTGGCCCATTTGGGGGGGTGAGGAGACCCTATGGAGCAGTTCTACCCTGCACACATGTAATCAGCATGAGTTGGAATTGACTCAGTGACAACTAACAACAATAATTACAGGACTTATTTGGGACACTTTTTCAGGGGTTGGAGATCCAGAACAATTGGCCTACCCTCTTCCGAGTGCTGAAAATTTGGTCACGTAGGGGTGGGAGAGAGGCACTAATTGATTTTATCTAAAAAAAAAAAAAAAAAAAAAAAAAAAAACTCACAACTGAACCTATAAGCAGCATCACGGTAAATGGAGAAAGGTTTG